CCCCCATACACACACACTGCCCCCCCATAGACACACACACATACTGCACCCCATACACACATACTGCCCACCATACACACATACTGCCCACCATACACATACCACCCCCATACACACATACTGACCCCATAATCACACACACCTTCCCCCATACACACACTGCCCCCCTTACACACACACACACTGCCCCCATACACTCTCACACTTCCCCCTATACACACACTGCCCCCATACAGTCCTCCCCATACACACACACTGCCCCCCCCCTATACACTCACATTGCCCCCATACTGCTCCCCCTCTATAGACCCACATTGCCCCCCATAATGCTCCCCCATAGACACACACACTCCTACCCCCCCATACAGCCCCCCATACACACACACACTGCCCCATAGACACACATTGCCCCCATATACTGTTCCCCATAGACACACACTGCCCCATACACACACTGACCCACACACTGCCCCCCACACACACTGACCCACACACTGCCCCATACACACACACTGGAGTCCCCACATTGCCCCATACACACACACACTGTCCCCCATACACACACACACTGACCCCATACAGCCCCCACACACACACACTGCCCCCATACAGTCCCTCCCCCATACACACACACTGCCCCCCATACACACACATTGCCCCCCATACTGCTCCCCATAGACACACATTGCCCCCCATACTGCCCCTCATACACACACATTGCCCCACACACTGCCCCCCATACACACACATTGCCCCACACACTGCCCCCCCCATACACATACACACACACTGCCCCTCCATACTGCCCCCGCACAGTCCCCCCATACACACACACTGTCCCCCATACACACACATTGCCCCCCATAGAGCCCCCCATACACACACACTACCCCCCATAGACACACATTGTCAGATTGCTTCCTCCCAGTAAGAACTGATCACTTCCTCCTCAGTGCCGCTGGGGAGGAGGCACACACCACATGGAGGAGGATGCAAGCATTGTGGGGGAGAGGGACTGAGAAAGCTGATGGCAGACTCCCATCAGCCTGGGCCAGCAAGCTCTCACTGGACCCCAGGGAAGCCACCTTTCTGTACCCAAAAGGTAAGGAGACAGGAGGGTGGCTAAATATGTTTTGTTTTTTGTTTTGCTTATTTCTGATATCACTTTTATTTAAGTGTGTTGGTGTTTGTAATGTAACACACAGGGAATAAGTACATGTTAAAAATCCTAGAAGAACCTGACAGTTCCCTATTAAATATAAATTTAAAAAGTATTTATTTTAACATATAATTGCATCAAGTGTTATCAAAGGCTGTATACCATTTTCAAATGTCACTTTTGCCAAATTCTGGACCAGGGTACGTAAGAACAGAGTTGAGACATTATATTGGCCAAGGTTGCTGGGAGTCCAAGAGCTGCTAGAAGGCAGAGATTAAAATATGTAAATGTACACATATATGTGTGTATCTGGCTGTGTTTATGTCCTTGTGTGTATCTGGCTGTGTTTGTCTGTGTGTCAGTGTTTCTGTGTGAATGTATAGCTCATACACCTGTATGTGCACCTATGTGTGTGTTTCGGTGTGTGTGTAAGTGTGCATCTGAGTGTGTGGTAATGCATACATCCCAGCATTTTAATGCCAACACAAATACACTCCTACATTCCATCTCTAGCACTGTACACATATACACCCCTGCATTTATACTTTATGTATGTGTGTATCTGAGTGTGTGTGTATATACCTGTGTCAGTGTGTGTGTGTGTGTGTGTGTGTGTATGTGCCAGTGTGTGTATATCAAAGTGTTTGTATCTGTGTGTCAAAGGGTGTGTATCTGAGTGTGTGTGTATGTGCCAGTATGTGTCAAGGTGTGAGCATGTGTCAGTGTGAGCATGTGTGTATCTGCGTGTTAATGTGTATGTGTATATGTGTTATAGAAATCACACAACATGCAAACAGAACCCTGCAAACACAAACATTACAAACACACCAGTTTGCTGAAACACTAATACTACACACAAATGTACACATGTATTTAAAAGACAACACTACATCCAAACACCCCCTGCATGCAAATACAAACATTACATGCAAACACATTCCTGTATTAAAACGCTAAAATTATATACAAACACCAACTCTACACACAAAAGTACACCTGCATTTAAAAGCCAACACTACAGACAATCACACATTACTGCATTCAAACGCAAACACTACACACAAGTACACCACTGCATTCCAATGGTAACAGTACATACAAATACACTCCTACATCCACACATACTCTATACAATAACATGCTGACATTAAATTGCACAAACACTGCTCAAAAATACAAACCTGCAAGGATGGTAGATCCCCAGCTGGCATAGCATCGCAGGAGTTGTATGACAGATGGGGATCTATCTTTTCTTTACTCTTGTGCTACAGGGCAGGCCTGAATTTTTTTTTGTTGCACCAAGGAACTCTCTACATTAGTTTCGCCTCTAGGTTGGGGTGGAGGGAGTGATTGCATGCCCAGGGGGCCCAAACAGATGCTTGCCCAGGGTCCAATCAATATTAAAGACGGCCCTGTGTGTGTGTATGGACTCAGCAGTCTGTGTGTGTGTGTGTGTGTGTGTGTGTATGGACTCAGCAGTCTGTGTGTGTGTATGGACTCAGCAGTCTGTGTGTGTGTGTGTTTGTGTGTGTATGGACTCAGCAGTCTGTGTGTGTGTGTGTGTGAATGGACTCAGCAGTCTCTGTGTGTGTATGGACTCAGCAGTCTCTGTGTGTGTGTGTGTGTGTACTCAGCAGTCTATCAATAATTAAAATTCCTGTGAGTTGTTGTGTAGGAAGGGCCCAAGTGCATTGCTTTGCCCAGGGGCCCTTAACTCTGTTAAAATGGTACTGCTTGTGTGTGTCAGTGAGCTTCTATTTAGTGAGCATGTGTGTGTCAGTGAGCTTGTCTTTAGTGAGCTTGTGTGTGTGTCCCTGAATTTCTTTGTAGTGAGCCTTCTGTTTATACAAGTGAGTGTCTGTAGTAAGCTTGTGTGTGAGTCAGAGAGTTTTATCTGTCAGTAAGCCTATTTGCGCATGTCAGTGACCTTGTGCGCTTACTGTACTATATATATATATATATATATAAATAGCGAGGGCTTGCACTCCTGGTGTAATCCTGTGGTGCCCGGTGCTGGTCTGGCAAGGATCATGTAGACATAGCAGAAATGACCGCACTCCAAGGACTTTATAGAGATTTTCAAATAAAATTTAGCTTTTATTCAATCCATTTAAAAAGTCAACGTTTCAGCTCCCACATGGAGCTTTCATCAGGACAAAACATAACTTACAAGTGCAGACAAAGAAATAGCTACTAGGCCACAAAGTGGAAAGCAACCAGTCCAGTTGGATTGTTACTTAGTAACCAGGGCCGTCTTTAATATGGATTGGACCCTGGGCAAACATTTGCTTGGGCCCCCTGAATCCGGTCGTCCCCTCCCTGGCATGCAATCATGCCCCCCACCCCAACGCAGAGGCGGACGTAAAGTAGAGAGGGCTCTGGTGCATGAATTATTTTGGGCAAGAGGGGGCAAAAGGTAGATCCCCATCTGTCATGCAACTCCAACAATGCTTTGACAGCTGGGGCGCTACCATTTTCCCATGCATGCAGGGTTATATTTAGCACTGAGCAGCATTTGTGTGTTTGAGTGTAAGCATGTTTTTGTATGGAGTATGTTTGTGTGAATGTAGGGGTGTGTTTGTATGTGGAGATGGCATTTAAATGCAAGTATGCATTTATGTGTAGTGTTGGTTTATGAATACACTGGTGTGTTTATATATAATTTTGTTGTTTAAAATAAGAGGTGTGTTTATATGTAGTGTTGAAGTTTGAATGCAGGTGTGTATTTGCGTGTAGTGTTGAATGCTGAGATGTATGCACAAATACACATGCACTGTCACAAATACACACACACACACACTGTGATACACATACACACACAGAAACACTTGCAGATACACAGATATACACAATCATACAGATGCAGCTATACAGACACATTTACACACACAGACACACATACAACCTGGCACACATGCAGACACACAGATGCACACACGCACACACACGCAAATACACTGACAACATACAGATACACAGACAGACACAATGACAACATACAGACATACAGATACATAACCTGAAAAATGCAGATACAAACACTGACACACATGCGGATACACACATTGGATACATACAGATACATGCACGGGTATAAACACTGGCACACACACA